GTTCTAACCAAAGAGGCCTTTCCACATGATTATAACAACGAAAAGTTGAAAATCTATATACAGCTCGCGTACCATCCTGACAGTTGAAGATGAAGAATAGTAGCAAAGGCCGTTGAGTCATCCATGCATCATCTCCACACAATATCGTACATTTGAAGGAAAATAGATAGATTCATCTGTGAGCGAGCTTGAGTCACCACTTAAAGTAGCAAGGAAGGCGCAAAAGATCATGTTCATTACCGGCTTCCATCAGCCTCCTGCAACGAGTTTTTGACATTTTTATTTTAAGGTGATTTGATGTATCTGTACTGTATGAAACAATGTTGACGCAACGATCTTGTAATTGTTCAAGCGTTTCAATGATGAGCAAGACTTCCAGTAGAGACACAATTGGAGGTCATATTATTGCCTGTATAGGTTGACGAAGCGGTTGGACAAAGAGCCAATACCAGATCGGGACCACTCCATTATCAATGAGTAACACTTCATCCAGGATACTGATTCCCCATCTTATCAAACATTCGCTTTAAAAGCATCAAGAGAGCCAACGCCACTCTATTCAAGCAACAGGGTACATTGAAAGTCCATCAATTTGAGCCCCATTTCCCTTTGTTGACTTTCTGACTGTTTGTGTGGCTCAATGAGAAGTGAAGTTGATTCTTTTTTCTCATTCTTGGTTAGAGCTGTTGTGCGGCCTTCCAATCTCATGTGGAGATCCATGTAACTATAGCATAAACTTTTTATGATTACACATATTGACCTCCAACTGCACAAGAGTCTTGTGATAGATAATACCACACAAATTCTTAGTCTTATGACTAAAAGCAAGTTGTTGTGATTAACTGAATCTTCATAAGGAGTTGAGTGTTTGGATCCACTGAGCAGATCTACGTCTTATTGACTTTAGTACTCTTATGTATAAGTGTATATATGTGTGGAGATACCAAATGCCTTCAATGGGATTCTTGATGGGATTCTTATACATCAGCAGTATTCTCTTGACCTGGCGATACCTTTATTCTACTTAATAATAATATGATAAAATTCTCATTCCGAGAACGTCATTTTAATTGCCTTGTACAGTATCAAGGTGAAACTACGTAATAACATACTACATACAGTATAATATATAATAAGGTGACAAATATATCTATCTTCAAGCTGAGATTAGACATTTTCTCTTGCGACTACACTGGCAAGAGAAAGCCCTAAACATCACTTAGATAATGTGCAGAGATAACTCAACATCAACCCAAGAATTTTGCCAGAAGGCCTTTCTGTCCTCCAAACATCACCTACAGACAATAAAATGCCTATTTGTTCTCTTCACTTTTTTGTTCTCTTTAATTTGTAACAGTCTTCGGAGCCCGACTCTCGAAGCTTTGAGTTCGATTACGCCAGTATTCGATTATGGCGTCTTGTCCTCTCCACACACGTAAGTTTGTAATCGATAAGAAGTTCCGAGGTAGTGTGGTTCTCACGCAAAGTCTTCGTAATCCACATAAAGCTGAGTAACCAGTTCGATATGTTACACTTTGTCTACCTGGAACTTGGAAATTCAAACACTTTTCTAAATGTCAAAAAGCTAACTTTTTCCTGACAACTAATATAAGGACGTGGATGAGGTATTATCCTTCCTCGCTTGATTGGAGTTGAATTTACAGTCTGCTGCAGAGTCGAATAAACCGAGGGTCTTCAGGTTATCATCTCTTGGTGTAAATGTTTTAATGGCAAGTAAGGCAAAGAAAAATTCTAACCTCATTACGTCAGCTGATATTGTGGCTTCTAGCTAAACTCATCTCAGCTGATATTCTTGTTGCTCGATTTCTCTTTAATGAAAAGACCGCTGTAGAGTCGAGTGAAAGTGAGGTTATTATGATGAATAGGTTTGAAATCGCAATTTGTCTTCTGGTGTAAATATTCGGAACTTTGGAAAAGCATGAAATAATGATATTTTCGGATGCAATCTTGGGACAATTACTTTCCTTACTTTCTATATTGTAATAAATGTAAAGGCTGCGGTGGAGTCAAGTGACCTAAGTGTCTTCAGGTCAACATCAAGTTTCCTTAAGTGGGGCTATTGACATAACAACATCCCCACCCCATGTTGTGAAACTGAAGTCGAGAGAATTGCTGGTATGTGGAACGATTTTGTGAGGGGACTATCTTCAGCGTCGTTGATTGTGAAGAAATGCATGGGCTATCTTTGCGTAATGCGTTGTTGAATCTAGGAACCATAAATGGTAATTTTCTATTCACGATATAGTAGACTATGTGTGGATTAATGAAGTAAATGGAGAAAGTGGGAGTTGCATAAAATAAACGGCGGATGCAATGAATCACATTGAGTGAGGTACAAAGGTGGCAAGAAAATATCCAAGAGGGGCCAAGAAGAGAGCTATACCATTTCATGATGAATGAATATGTCTGTAACCGCACCTCTTAAGTTTCCTATACGCATATGGTGATACTTGTAGATCGAGAACAAGAGAAGTTGTATTTTCATATATGTATTATTATATGCACCAACACTAATGTGGTGATAAAACTAGGTACTGGCAGTAATATAGTTTTCTGTACGCTTCAAATGGTGAGAATCAAGAACGAATCACACCAGCATGTTTTCACCTTGGATGAATTACCCGCACCACGCTCATGTACCAACTTTTACGAGTGAGAAGTTCTTACTTGCTAACAACGTGAGAAGCTGGTTTTATTCCAGGGCTGCCAACTCTCCGACAGTGGTCAAAAGCATCGTCATTACGGGATGGCCCACATGAGATGACCTGCAACTGCATTCGTTCTACTCTTGTATCTAAATGATGTTGGTCTGGACGATACACGTTTTACTATGATTGAAGCACTTACCTATTAATCGTGATAGTGAGTACAAAAATGGAGGTAATAGCAAAATAAGGTTAAGCATTTCAAGTGACGGATATTTTTTTGCATGGTAATCATGATTGATAAGAATGTTAAAAATCAAGGAGGTGAGTATAATCATTGAACATGTCAAACGATAATAAAATGTCTTGTGGAATCAAATGACTAAATATACACTAATCGTAGTAGAAATTAAAGAATTTTTATACCTTTCATCGATTTTTTTGTGGATATTGCCTTAGAAGTAGATGTGTTATATAAAATGCATTCTGGTCTTCTTAATAAAGAATGCAACCTTATGAGAAATCCAAAATTCCAACCACGGAGGGAGATGCATCGCAGCAAGTGATACGGTCGTAATCAGCGAAATATCAAACCTTAACTTGTATTGCCCTTATCGAGCATATTTGTTACACATCATCATTGATAATCGACTATGGACCCTAACTTTTAAATCTTCAATATGTCTAGTCGCTTCCAATAGTTTCGCTTGTGCAGAACTAAGTAACCAAGATATATTTCTTCATATTCTTTGCCAAATGTTACTCACACAGGTGATTTTTCATTATTAGTTAAATCAAATGTTGACACTTTCAAAACTGAGAATTTATTGTTGCAGAATGCATTGTAAACTATGCATATTCAACGACATCAAAGAGAAAATTATATCAAAGCGAAGAAAAAACAAAAACAACTTGATACTAGGTGGATACTATTAGTCGAAATTTCTCGTGAGGATATGTCTGGATACAGAAAATAAATTTTTTTTGAAAATCAAATTATACAAACATCTAATATATTGAAAAAATTTTGGTTTAAAGATTTCTACTTGGTGCTCCCTATTCCTTTATAAATCATTATTATTGTGTGCTTCCTCAATCCTTCCTATTTTGAGCTTCTTAAACTCGACTGCTGGTGTCTTCAAAAACCTCGCGAAATTTCTGCCTTTGGTGGTGAAGATCATCAAAAGAGGATAGACGGAGACACACGTCCTTATTCGAACTCTACTCCAAACTCGACTGCTTGTTTGTGGCACTGAGTTGCTGAGGCAGGCAATAAGCATCGCGCATGGCCTCAATTGATCAGGTCATCTGGTTATAGCGAGACGATACGAATATTGTGCTGGTTTGTTTGAAGTACTCGTGTGTGGATCCGGCAGAAGATTCTCTTGTGGACACACACATCGAAGGTTCCCACACGTGCCAACTCAATCGAAAGCTCGTTCGATTAGCATGTGATGTGTTTAGGTGATGCTGCTGCTGCTACTCTCAGCACGGATCGCAAAAAGATCGCTGCACTCATAACCAGGTTGTAGCTGAGAATGATTTAGCCTCGGGCTTGCATCAGTAAGAAAGATGTTTTTCAACTCAAGGGCGGACTGGTATAAAAGCATACAAAATTCAGCTTGTCGTATACAGGACCTCTTCGTCCCACACTTTGGGAGGGCGAGCAAGGAAGTCTCGTAAATAGAAATAATCGATAATAAAATATAAACCGCATAAAATATTCCCAAAATCCTGGCCCAGCCCAGTCGAGGGAGGCTTCCGCCAGGTAAGGCCTCTGAAATTCCTGAGCGTCGGACCGGCCCGAAGGAGGGGGGGGGGGCCTCCTCGTCCGCAGGGGCCTCAGCAGCGAGGAGAGGATGGTAGAAGGGGTATTATTACCTCGGGCGCCCGTGACTGGCGACCAGCAGACATTGTATGTCGCCCGGGGTAGAAAATCCTTTCCGCAGAGCAGAAACTGACAGGCGACTGAAATCGGGATTGGCTGGCGCTGAGGCGAGCATGACGTCATGGTGCATTATGTTGGGATGGATGATTTTGCCCTCATGTTACATGGATCTCTAATGAAAGCATCTGTCTTGAATACGTCCTCCAATTCCCTCGGGCATCGGACGGCATCCGCACGTTGTTGCAATCTGCAACCGGATCCAAGATGTACGTGTGTGCAGAAGGGTATCAAAGAATGGTTCCCGTGGGACGGTGCCAACATAATCCGAGTGCATGCACGCGTGTGCTTCCAACTCGAGTCGACTTGGCTGGGTCCTGGGTCCGGGCTCCGAAGGGCAAGGCAGGCCTTCGCGTTCTATATAAGTCTCCGGCTTCGGGTACCACACCTACCATTGCATTGTCTCCTCCGATTCATCAAATTTTCGTCAAGTCTGTATCTTGTCTTTGGTGCAGCTACCCCCCGAGTCCGATTCCGAGTCCCCCGTGCCCCCAGCGCACAAGGTCAAGTACACAACACTATTATTATCTCGTCCCTCAGCCAAGGAGCAAGTGTCCCCTCGCCGGCGACCACTCGAGCTCGGGTCCGAGACTCCGAGTCATGTAGGTTGTCAAATAATTCCCGACTATAAAGCAGACGCATTGTGGTAACCACGGGTTTCCTTAAGATTTTCCTCGGCGGCCAAGCCTGCGCTGGGCAGCACGGACGTACTCGACGACTACTTACTTACACGAGCGATTTGAGGAAGACGGAGTAAAGTAAGACACGGAGAGATTGCGAGTGAGAGTGAGTGATTGTGAGAGAGAGACTGAGAGAGAGAGAGAGAGAGAGAGAGCTGCCGTCATGCGATCTCGCTCGGCCGTGGGCAGCAGGCAGGTATAGAAAGAATCAATCAATCGAGCATTCGGCAGGGGGAACTCATTAGCACCAGGAGCGGAGAGCTCTCGGCACCACACCACCCACGATGGTGGAGAAGGCGGCGTCGTCGCTGGCTGTCCGCCGCAGCGCTGCGCTGCTCTTCCTGCTCTCGGCTCGCAATTCCTCGGCCACAGCGGCGGCATCGTCGTCCTCCACCGGCAGCTGCAAGGCCTCGACGCTGAACCATCAGTCGCCCAACGGAGCGCATGCTCCTCTGTCGCCTCTCTCGCCCCTCTCACCGTGCTCTCGCCCGTGCCTTCCGCTGTCCTTCTCCGCGTCGCCGTCGCCGTCTCCTCCAGCGCGTCACTCCAGAAGTTTTTCGTGCCTCACGTCGGAATCTGATCAGGCCTCGCCCCTCAGCGACGGCGCCTCTGGGTTCCCCAATGCCACCTTCGAATGGAGCCCGCGCATTCTCAAGGACGATGGTGATTCTCAACAGACGAATTCCGGATCCGACCACGATGCCGAATTGCAGAAGATTGTCAGCCACGTCGAAGATGCCCCTCCGCCCACGGCCGAGAGCCGCAAGCGCGCTCGTAGAAAACCTCAGGAAGATACTCGCCATCCTATTTACAGAGGCGTTCGTCGACGAAGCTGGGGTAAGTGGGTGTCTGAGATCCGCGAGCCCAGGAAGAAGTCTCGAATCTGGCTCGGATCGTTTGCCACCCCTGAGATGGCAGCTCGGGCCTACGATGTGGCGGCACTGAGTCTCCGAGGTTCTGCTGCTCTTCTCAACTTCCCTGAGAGCGTCCCTTCCCTTCCACGACCCACAGTCATGTCCCCCAAAGCCATCCAGGCCGCTGCAGCAGCTGCAGCCTTCTCCTTGCCCGTGCCTATGGCTGAACCTTCTCCGGACAGCAGCAAGTGCAGCACCAGCTGCTGTCGATCAGGTCCATGCACCCCGAAGCTGAGCTCCATGTCCAGACCCACGGCGCCACCTTCTCCTATCTCTCCTATTTCTCGCATGCGTTCATTCACCCAGTCTCAAAATTCTAGCACCAAACCTAGACCTACTGTGTCCTCGATATCGAGCAACGGAGGCCAACAACAACAACATCACCATCAACAACTACAACAGCAGCAGCAGCAGCAGAAGCAACACCATCAGCCGCAGGAGCAACACCATCAGCCCCAGCCCATCCGCTCACAACCCACGTCCTTCAATAGATGCAGCACCACGGAAAGCTCTTTCATGGATTCCCGAAGAATGGCTGCAGCAGCCCCAACCCCCGTATCGTACCACTGCTCGCAGGCTGCTATGATCAACGAACCAGACGACTCATACTTGGATGAGGACTTACTATTTGACATGCCGAGTGTGCTGTCTAGTATGGCCCAAGCGATGCTTCTACCCTCTCCAGTCATGGAAGAGCAACAACAAACGCTTACGCCGACGATGATGACCTACTTCGATGACCAGGATGGCAACCTGGTGTGGGAATCTGACCTCTGGAGTCTGTGATTCTGTCAAATATATGTCTGGTAAGGGGGTTTTCTGTGTGGCCGATCGAAGGGACGGATCTCATGCACGCGGGGTGAACCTTGGGTACGCCTGTCCTTCAAGCGGAATTTATTCCCCGACCAACTGCGTATCCAAGCATCTTGCAAACCACTGGCAAGGAGCTCGAGCAACAGCATGATCAAGGGCTTGGAAAGAAGAGAAGGAATTGGCTGTTGCGAGTCCTGACTTGGTTTCAGTGGCATCACAAGGTCCATAACAAGGTTCACAAGCCTGCAGCAACCGACATGGAGCTGCAGAGGCTTTTCTTGTAATAATATGAGGTCCATGTCGACCAGTTCCATCGGAGTCGCCATGTTTTTTGCAAGTTTCCAACTTGGGGATCCAGATCACTCTGGTCCACGTCATTCAGGTCAGTGGTTTCTCAACAGCAGCAGCCACTCCAAGGCGAACAACCAAGAGTACATTGATGAGGCAAGAGGAAGAACACGACCAGGCCACGACTCAACATATCCTGGCGTCTCTCGAGTGCCTTGGTTCTCGACCATTATGTGAGCTTCTGCGGACGAATAATTCCAGTCTGCCACTTCTTAAGCGGACTTGGGTCCCATGTAAACACATGTCACATCTGTCATCTGAGAAGCGAAGATGGATCCGCGTTGTACGATGTGAAACATTAGATTTGGTTCATCAAGACGTAGCTTGTTTGTACAGAAGAAATAAACGCTCTTGTTCTTGCTTGGAGCCAAGCCTCAGCGTCGGTAGAAAGTAGAATGGGAGAGAAGGCAGTTTTAGCAGTGAAACCCCATTGAAGAGTTTTAGAGAGTTCGAAGCGGGATGTCATTTTCTATGTGAAATCCGGAAGAGAATACAAGATTGCGTTTTACTTTCCACCCTTACAAGTTCGTGTGGATGACGAATTCTGATTTTTGTTAAGTTTGTGGTGTTCAAGTTTGACATCCTTCCTTCCGACGGCCTCAACGGCTTTGCTTCTCTGTGCTTGCTCACAAAACCACCACATGCATGAATTTTCATGTTCGAGCCTCGTACGTCCGTGTTTTGTCGGTAATTTGTACGAAGCGAAGATACAGCAGAAGATATTTTAACTATTCACAGAGTGATACAGCTCCTCCATTTGGGATGCATGTCTGCTTACCTCCATGTTTCCTAGATTGAACTTAACCTTACTTCCTTCCCATATACATGCTCTGAACACTGTCTAAGAGGCAGGTCCTGATTCCTGGTCAGTAGCCTTCGCTTCAGCACGTTCTCCTTCATGCAGACGAGCATTGCACCGAGTTCTGACAGAGACCTGCGTTCGAGTTCAATTTCAAGGTCAACTGGTCATTGTTAAGTTGGGATTCTTCACTCTGGAGCTCCAGCAGATTGAAGTTCGGTCACCGAAGGCAGGTTAACTGGATTAGTTATCAATGCTGCAAGCCCCCATCTTCCGAGGAAAGTGCAATATTTTAAGGGCAGGATAGCCTTTCTCATCCAACATTGACATCCTTCATATCAATCTCCTCACAGTCAGAAGTTGTAGAAGACGAAAACAGTGCTCTGACCTCGTGCTAGGTGAGAAAATAGAGGGCTGAGCGCGTATGGTTATAATTTCTGTACTAGTTATACTGTATGCAGTACTTTTAGTCCTAGAGTATTGTTATAGTTCGAGTCCCAGTCCTGGGTTCTCAAGTGCTCTGATAATGCTTGGGAGTGAGCAAGCATTCACTGTTGCCACTCATGAGCGAAGACTTCGAGCAAGAAAAATGGTGGATAGTCCAAGCTCGTACGTCTTCTGTCATTGACTTGCTTGTCTGTCTTTGTTGTTTGCTGTATTTCTTATCATGATCGTCTCTGTACCATCGCTCAGCAGCAAGAGGAACTTACATTATGTCTGATGTGATCATGAAGTTCTTCACAATTGAGGCATTATCGCTTCGCAATGCCCTCTTCAAGTCCAACCTCGAGGCTGATGCCCTTGGCAAGTCTACAGTGATGAAGTGCTCGCGGATCATTATCTTCCATTGAGACATGTGCCGTGATCGCTGGACCTATGGTCGACTGAATTTACTTCTAAGGACTACCTCAGCTCGTGGCTCCGAATTTGGTCTCTCGTGACAGCCACGTTGAGGGTCACTATGTTACCTGTGAGTTCCTTGACTTGCATGTTCTGATTTGACTAGAACCGAGTGGAAGCTCTTCAGCCGGAGTTAAGGTGGATGTTGCTCGTGCCGTAGACTAGTCTTGTGTTACTCACGTTGATTTGCATTACATTTTGAAACTCTCTCAACCTCGAGGTAAAAGTCTCTTTCTTCCTGGGAGCGAATGAGACACCCAAACATTCCAATGGAGAGAAAATGGATGAGAGTGGTAGCCAAACCGTGAGTACATTTTCAATGTCGACAGCATCACTGGTTACTTGAAAACCAGCACGCCAAAAGCCTGCCCACCTTTTCACGGATTGCGTTTTGATCACTGCCGCAGTCACTAAGATTCAAACTCAAGGTCATTTGGGATCGTCTCCGAGAAGTTTTCTGCGCATTCTTGTCTCCCATGGCATCTTTATAAAACATACTCGTTTCGAGTCAGAAGTCAATTAAGTGGAAAAAGGATCTAAACTTGTGCTGGACGCTGGTACGGATCTTTACCTTGGACTGAGAGATTGTCTCTATCATGACCTCTAAGCCACCTTCCTGTCTGTTGTATCTTTTAATTACCTTCACAACTTGGAGAACGGATGACAAGGCATTCGCGGAGCAAAGCAGATTTTGTTTATGATTTCTTGCTGCCGTAGACAGACAACGATCCTCCTCTGTCGTTCAGCAAGAATGATTCATAAAAACTCGATGTTCCCCCGCCACTGCAAGGACTCAGTTTCTTGTCTGGACGACTGGCACTTTCTTCGTGATGACTGCGGCAGAAGTGACCGTAAACTGCAGGTTATACGGAGGGCATTTACAACTAGAGATCATTGCGAAACGTGCTCGTCGAGCACTCCCCATGCACAAAAGCGTATGGCATTGCACTGGTTCCACAGTTCGTTCAATGACGAGGCCATACAGTACTGAGAAAGTCTTGACGAGCTTTCCATTTTGATACACTGCTTCTGCTACCGAGAAGCAGGAGGTCATATTTCCGCGATCCTCGGTGTTATATGGGTCTGGAATCTGTATTTGATTTGGTGGAATGTACGCGCGAGCATCTGCTCGATGGTTTCTGAGCTTCCCATAAATAGTATACTATATACAAGGAGTACGCTGACGATGGTGGCTTCGTTATAAGAGCAAAAGTTCGTGACCTGATTCTGTCTGGCTGCAGATGATACGCATGATGGTCTTGAGGAACATCACAAAAGCGGTGGTCACCCTTGCTGCCCGGGCTGTCAATACGCGGAAGCGAGGCAATCTGTATCTGTATGGGGCCTTGATACAGATTACAGCCTTACATCGGGCTTTGCATCATTTACGGATGCTCGCACTTCATTGCTCGGGACTTCACCTAAGCACGAATCTTGTCATGTGCACTCGATAGGATAATAAGGATCGGGCGACAATGTATGTCATCATCGGGAACCCATGGCTTTAATTTTCCGAGCTTCAGCCGTCGATACGGGTGCCAGATAGAGCTGCGGAAAAGTGACTGAAACCAGACCGGGCCAGAAGAGGAGACGTCTGGAGGACGTCAAAAGAGCACCACCGTATCAGCTATCAAGCGTTTGCGGGCACGGCGTCAGCCTGACGTCACGGCCATCACTCCCGAAGACTCAACGTTGAAATGGCCGAGAAATTCCTAAATGGGGAAGCCCAGCCGCTGACTTTTTTCTTCGAAAGCTCTAATCCAAACTTGACAAGCGCCAAAGGCTTGACGACTCTGATGCCCGAGCGAGCTGCGCTGAGCGCATTGCGGCACCTTCGACAAGGAGAATGCACCTATGCGGCGACGTTTCTGCGGACCTAGGTCAAGCATAACGTCCCCTCTGACACTCTGCTCAAATCATGCGCAGGTCATGGCCCACTCAGCCCCCCAGCCTCCCCCCCTTCTCCAATAATCCCATAATCCCATGCTCCCGCCCCCGTTTCAAACCGTCGCATACTTCTCCATCCCTTTCCCTTTCCTTCTCCTTTTCCCTCCTTCCTTGCTTCGCCTTGTACATCAGCCTGCGGCGTCGGCACTAATTTCACCTGAGTTGCCTGCCCGCCCGCCACCTCTGCGCCGTCAACCACGAGGCATCCGTGTCCACTGGAAGTGGCCACGTTGAGTACCCAGTCGGACCTATAGCTCCACGCGCCAGAACCACGTCGCGAGCTCACGAGACAGTGTCACTGTGTCTTGACTTTCGTTCTAAGCACAGCAGCTTGGCCTCGATTCGAGTTTCCCCGTTCCCCTGCCTGAGTCGAAGTAGGTGGATCCGGCGGAGTTGAGTAGGCGATTCTTGCCTTCCGCAGCGCAGCTGTCGACTCGTCGGGCGCCGCAAGATCTGCCTTTCGTCTCTTGTTCTGGAAACGCGTGGAGAATCGAAGACGACGCTGCAGGGATTGCATGGACGTAATTTCGGCCGTTTCGGAGACTCTCAGATCAAGCGAGCATTCTGTTCCTTCCCTTCAGAGCTAAAAGGTTTCATGGACGTTCTTTGATCCTTCGTGAAAGCCTGGTGGAAGTTCTGACCGGCACCCCGACTGCACGGCATATCTCAGAGCGAGTGGAACTAGGAATCGTCACTTCCCCAAGGCTTCGTTAGACAAATAACTCGCACGCGAATGTCGGTTCGGAGAGGTCGTTAGCGCCGAGGAAGTTCGTGAGAGTAGAGGTCGTATATGGGCTAGGGCCGGCCGCGCCCACAAGATCGTCAGTCGGAGCCACGACGCCAAGTACGTCTTCGAGTCGAGTTGTCTCCAAGACGCATCCATGACGCCAAACCGAACAGCGATGTACGTCTTCGAGTCGAGTTGTCTCCAGGACGCATCCATGCTGCATCTGCTGTCAGCAATTTGGACAAAGGAAACAGGCTTCTGGATATAGACCATTACGTAACATCTGTCGACTTCTCGTCAGATGTAGGATCGTAACGTTTTCAGCTGACGCTTGCTCACAAGTAGAACATCCGAGATCGGGTCGAGGCTGCAAACGCCAGGGGCTGGTGAAGTCACCCATCTACGTGCGTCCTAACAAAACGTCGAAGTACCTTTCGTCCGCAGACCTTGCTGATGCTCAATCTAGGTGGAGCCACCCTCGACACCATAAGCTTCCAACCAGGAAATCTGTTGAAGACTGATCATGACCATCGTCCATAAAGACGATGGAGGGGCCTAGATTCTCCTTGCGGACAGTCGGTCTGAGCTCCCACAACTTTAGACGAAAGGAATCTTGAAAAGATTCTCTTCGTCTTCGTCACAGTCAAACCGCGCAGCGAGGCGGACTCAGAAAACAGCAGGCCTCGTCGAGAATGCCACCGAACGAAATTCTGAACCGAACCGATATCAGAATTTGCGATTTCCTTGGAGTTTTGCTTTCGCAACAAATTGCACGTTGGCCTTCTGTACTGAAGTTCGTGAACAACCTCTTTCAACTGTCAACGTACGCATGCAGTTATAGAGAATCTAATTATGTGGAGCGGACACCCTGTCCCCGACTCTCGCACCTCTCCCGTTCAATTGCGCTGACGTGCCCTATCTCTAAGCCTCAGTCTTAAGCAAAATTTCTAATTGTACACAGCCAGGACCATCGACACCAATCAACTAGCAAACCAATAATTCAAAGCCAATTTGGAGAAAGGTGAGTAGAGTAAACTATTCCTTCGTACATAATATAGTAGAGTGAATAGAAAATGAGTAGATTCTTAAAAAAAGTATCTACCAAAAGTTACACCTCTTAGAATTCTTTTATTACTTTTGAA